TAAACCTATAAATATATGTACATATATCTATTTCCCAAATCAGCACTGTGCTTCTAAAGTTGATTCATGTTGCCATGTCCACAGCAAATCTATTGTTTCTAATTAATGCAAATTATTTCAGGATACATGTCTACTATCATCTACTGTATTTTATCTACTCACTTGCCTGGTCGTGGACACGCATTTTTCTTCTACATTCTTGGCTACATATAATGTACATATAATATAATTTCTCTTACACAAGAATTCATTTGGGTTGGATAAACTGAGGACAAGAATATATAGGTCCTAGGGATACATATACTTAATTTGTCTTAACTAGTATTATAGTACACAGAACATAGCACTTAAAGCTTCTTATATCCCCATATCTTCACCAATAGATAGCACCATTCAGCATTTTAATTTTTGTCAGTTTGTTGGTTGTAAATCATAGAACCCCAAAATATTGTTTAGAACCTCACCTCCTTGGGACGTTCTGAAACCACTCCACAATATATGAAAGCCCAATGTTGTTTTAATTCTAGCATTAATATGTATGAAAATAATTTTGACCTTGCAGACTAAGGGCCGATTAGGAAGAAGGAATAGACTGTACACTCCTGGAGGATTAACTACTGAAAATCTTATCAATAGCAGTGGAATATTAGCTAATATTGTGCCAAAAATGAGCCTCTCAAGTTTCAAGAAACTCAAAATATGACTGGGAAAGAGCTGCCTCCTCCAAGTGGAATCTACTTTAATGATGTGGATGGAATAAAGCATATGGGGCTGTCACATACTGAGAGAAAACAGCTGCAAACACCCATTAGTAATGGGAGCTTGGACTATATGAAGTATAAATCTAGGAAAATTTGAAGTCATCAATAACAAAAAGAAGGCTTCCAGTTCAAGGTGACTGACTGATTACCTGTTCAGTGAATCCCTCTCAAACAATCAAGAGACAAGAATCAAAAGATCCCAATCCCCCAGCAAAAAATGTCCCCAGACATCTTCCTGCCCCTGCAGGGATGCTTCTAGGCAACCCTGCACCCCAGAAAGGTAGTTCTCAGCTGCCGAATTCCTTGGGCAAGGAAGCTCCAAGCTGCCCTGCAGCCTGGCAAGGAAGGCCATGGGCCTCCTGAAGCCAAACCAGAAAAAGCTAATTATTCCCAGATGATACAGCAGCCTTCACAGTACTAACACCTTCAGGACAATGCTATAGAAACAGCATTTGGTCATGACACACACACACACACACACACACACACACACACACAAGCATAAAAAACTGAACACCACCCAGATCCAAAGGAATATTCTGGGGGAAAAAAACTCTCTGGAAATACCAGTAATAGAATTCAGAAGAATGATGTTCAGGTACTTTCAATGGATACAGGAATAGTACAAGAGAATAGAAAAGCTAAAAACCCTATACCAAATAGAATTCCAGAAGATAAATAATAGCAGTATTACTCAACATGATATAAAAACTGTAATGGAATTGAAGAAATGGAAAGCTGCATTAGTGGGCTTGAAGAAATTCCCTTGACTACAACTAACAATAAAAGTAATAAGAAAGAGCAAAGGAATTCAAAGAAGGCCTAAAAATTACGTGGGATACTATTATATTGGGCTGCAATTCACAAAATCAGCAGTTCAAAACCACCAGCTGCACCTGTGAACAGTTTTTCTGAATCCTGTGAACAGTTACAGCTTCAGAAATTCAAAGGGGGCAGTTCTACCCTGCTCTATAGGTTCACTATGAGTCAACATCATCTCTGGCAGTGAGTTTGACCTTGATTTATGTCTCTTTGGGATTCTGGAGCAGAATGAAAGACAACAAAAATCTACAGAGAAAGTAGTACAAGAAATCATGGGAGTAAATTCCCTCATACCATAAAAGAGAAAAAAAATAACTGTAAGAAGCAGAGAGAACACCAAGCAAGGTAGTGCCCCAAAGGAAAACATCACAACATATCATGCTCAAAATCTCTAATACCAAGGACAAAGAAAGAATTCTGAGAGGAGCTAGGGGAAAAGGAATAGTCATCCACAAAGGAAAATCAGCAGAAGCCATTCCAGCCAGGAGATAATAGAATGACATATACAAAGGGGTATCCCTGCC